AAAAAAAAAAAAAAAAAAAAAAAAAAAAAACATGCACTGGATCAAGACAGCCTGTACTCTCAGATGCCTTGAAGAGGTGGATTGAAGTCATAGACATGTATGACTTCAAGCTTGACCCTCTAAAGGGAGAGTACAATAAGGTGGCTGATGCACTATCGCGAACGACAGATTATCTGGGCACGCTAATAATTGAGTTTGGTATATTTGACGATGTAACTCAATCCTTGGTGGAAGCCTATCGGGAAGACACAGTAAAATTAGAGATCATCCGTAAGTTAAAAGCTAAGGACAAAATCCCTTCTGACCAATTTACGGTAGCCAATGGCTTGCCGTTTCTTGAGAAGGTTGGGAATAAACGATTGCGTACTAGATAGAGAGTCGTAGTTTGTGTCTAGGAGAATATCATGGTGCAATGGGTCATGTCGGTTATAAGAAGACTTCAGCTAACCTAGTGCAAAGATTTTGGTGGCCTTCTATGATGCAAAATGCGAAGAAATATGTTGAGACTTGCCAGGTTTGCCAACGGGACAAACCTAGGACTTAGGCTCCGCTTGGGCTTATCAAGCCCTTCCCTATTCCTGATGGTCCAGGTCAAAGTGTGTCCATGGACTTCATGGATACTCTTGTGACTAGCAAGAAACGGTAAAAGACACATCTTCGTCATAGTGACCGATTTACCAAATACGCTTGACTGATCGCCATGCCGGAAACAACAAAGACTGACTATGTCATCAAGCTGTTTATGGATAACTAGGTACGGGACTTTGGATTGCCCAAGTCCATCATTAGTGATAGGGACGTTCGCTTCACCAGTGAACTGTGGTAGAGTACGGCTCAACAGATGGGCACCCGACTGCAAATGACATCAGGGAATCACCCTGAGTCAAATGGCCAGGCGGAACAGATGAACCGAGTAGTGCAGCACTTGCTTCGACATTACATCAAGCCAAGCCAGGATGACTGGGACGAGAAATTACGTCTCGTCGCTAGCCTGTACAACAACGTTGTGCACAACACTACTGGCATGACTCCCAACCAACTGCATCTTGGTTGGAAGCCCAAATCCACCCTCGATTTCCTACTACCTGAGAATCAGCCAACTACAGCACCTGACAACATAGAATTTGATGTCAAGTATGAACAAATGCTACAGCAGGCCGTTGAACACATTAGGAAGTCTCACGATGCTATGATTGCATCTGAGAACAAACATAGACGGCCTTCTAACTTTCAGGTAGGGGACAATGTCTGGGTTAAATCGTTTGAACTAGGTCAGGAGTTGGGAATTTCCCGAAAATTAATGCCTCAGTACTTTGGTCCCTGGGAGGTCCTAGACGTAGTGATAAATCAGATGGATGGACCTTCCTATGTCATTCGCATCCCTGCCCACCTACATACACGCAGTATTTCATGCCTCCAAGCTGGCACCTTTTGCAGAAACTGCGCAGTTTCCCTCCAAACGATCAATGCTGCCCCCAACCATGGATGGCAAAGTCGACATCGACGAAATTGTGGAGCATCGGGTGATTCCAGTGCCTAAACCTCCCGGCACAGGCCGGCCTCCAAAACCAAGGATGCAGTACCATGTCAGATTCAGACACCATATTGATCCTAGTGAAGATCGGTGGTTTACTAGAGAAGAACTCCAACGAACAGCGCCCCAAGTGATTGCAGGCTACGAAAGAGCACTCAAGGGAAAGTTGCCTGCAGATTAAGGGACTTCTGAGAGGACTATCAAAGTGAAGGAGAAGGGAATGCGAGGATAAGGCTCCTCGGCAGGCCTAAGGGGGCCCATGATGCAAGTGTGCCCGCCCTAAGTGAAGGCGGGCCTAACAAATCACGAGAGGCCCACTACTGTCAATTTCGTATTTGGGGTTTCAAACAGTTATGTTGCGTCAGTTGGTTGAGGGAACCCAGGACCCGAGCAGCAAAGATTTTCCACGGCCTTTTAGGCCTTTTCTGAAGTGCAGGCCCTGGGCCACATTCGCAGCAGTATACACAGACAGTTGGGAGGAGTAACTGAACGAGGCCCAGCAGCATCAGCAGAGGCCCAGCAACCTGGGGCCTACCGGAAGCTTCTGGGCGCAGGCCCAGCCCAGCCAGGTCGAAGGCCAGGCAGACTCTTTCCATATAGGAAAGAGCTCGCTGCTTGGAGGTGCATTCAGGCAGTTGCCAGTTTGCAGCAGCGCTGCTGGAGCGGACGCTCGCTTGCTGCTGCTAGCGCTAGGGGCAAGCTGCTGTGCACGTGAGGTCGTGTGGGAAGAAGGGCGCTGCTGAGGGCAGCGCCATAGCCCAGCTTCCATAGCTGACTGGGCTTGGAGTACAGCAAGGGGCAGGGGTGGTCTTCGGGTGTACAGAGGGAAGACAAGGTGGACAAACGAGAGAGAGAGAGAGAGAGAGAGAGAGAGAGAGAGAGAGAGAGAGAGAGAGAGAGAGAGAGAGAGAGAGAG